GGAGGTGATTTTAATTTTGGTAGCTAACCCCCTTTTAGACCAAAGCTCGTTCTCACCATCCTCCCAAGCTTTCCCAAAATCCCTTACCAAAAAATTGGATACACTTCAACTGGTAGACTCCTGGAGGGCACATAATGTAGGAGCTAGAGAATAATCATTTTACTCCCACTCACATAACTCTTATGCTAGACTAGATTATATCTACTGTTCAACCATTCTGTGTCAAGGTCCTACCTTTTCCCTGAGGTTATGTTACTCCATGTGCTGGCGTCCATCTTGGATTCTGCTGTGCATGATGGGAATCCTTTTATGCCTTCAGGTCTCTGTGGTCCATCCCCCAGAGGGGTGTGGCTGATGACATATAAGCCTGTGGCCCGCACATGCTCTTTGCACTTGTGTCTTGTGTCTTTGTGTTGCTCTTACTCTGTTCTGACTCTCTTGACTTTCCTGGTATCTGATTCGGCTTGTGACTTGACTATTCTTTGTATTCTCCCTTGATCTGACCCTCTGTTGCTGAACCCGGCTCGTGACCTGTGATTCTCGTCTGCTGTCCTGTACTGTTTTGTCCTGTTGTTGTTGACCCGGCTTGTCTGACTACTCTTTTGTCTCTTCTACCAGCTACACGCCATTGGCGGCGGCCATTACCGCAGCTGAGGTGTCTTGGGGGCCGCGACCTGGTTCCTGGCTGCGTCAAGTCCATCCCCACCATCAGGGGCCCTGGTGAAGGGCAGCCTGGGACTTAGACACCGCGCCCTGAGGGACTTCGCTCTGTGGGTAGTGGTTGTCGTCAGCCAGTGCGTTACATTGTTAGGCCTGCCTGTCCGTTCCTCGGCCCCTGCCCTGACATTCTGCTAGCTAACTCTAGGAAAACTTGCATCCATTTAAGCCCCTTGTCGGATCACAATATTATCGCGCTATTCATCACATTCATAGGATTAGCACCTACCCCCTACTCCTGGAGACTTAATGACTCTATGCTCACGGATACTAACTCCCGCCAGGAGGTAGATACTTCCATTCAAGAATACTTTCAGTCAAACACAACTCCCGATATCTCTCCGGCCACACTGTGGGTAGCCCATAAGGTGGCCCTGCGGGGCTGCCTTATTTCCATGGCTTCTACTAGAAATAGAGAACGGTGGAAACAAATTCAGAAACTTACCTGAAAATTAGAAGCACATTATAGAGCTTATGTTGGCAATCCATCTCTACTTAACAAAAAGTTGTTATCACAAAAGCGTCTAGAATTGAATACTTTACTTTCCCAGAAAACTGAAAAAGCTCTACGCTGCTTGAAGGCTTCATTTTTTATTACATAGTAACTCAGCGTCTACTATGTTTGCATGGAAATAAAACCATTTTATATGACCCCCACACATCTACAAGTTACGTACTAAATCCGGCAGTATTTCCTCTCTTCCTCATGTAGTCCTGGTTTATTTTTGAAAATGTCTGTTCCACCCTATTAGCTCCCCGCAATCACCTTTCACTTCCCCAAACGGCTCATGGCTAGACTCTATACCCCTCCCTGCTCTCACACCCTCTCAGATATCTTCTCTCAATGCCCCATGCACTTTGGAGGAAATAACCCATGCGATTATCACATTAAAAATTTCCACAGCACCGGGCCCTGATGGGTTTACCGCCAGTTGTTATAAACATTTTGCCCCTACATTAGCTCCCTTTTTAATGTCCTTATTCAATGTTGTTTTGCAGGGAGGTAGGCTTCCCGAGGAGATGCTGCTGGCTAACACGTCTCTATTACCTAAACCACTAAAAGACCATCATCTACCTCAAAATTATAGACCAATCTCAGTATGAACAATGACTCATTCTGGCAGATAGGTTGGCCCCTATTATCTCCTCTTTGGTCTCTCTGGACCAGTCGGGATTTATCCCAGACAGACTTATCACGGATAACATTTGTCTTACATTAAATATTATTCAGGATGCCAATTTGCATTTTAAAGAAGTTTTGTTGTTGAGCCTGGACATTAACAAGGCCTTTGATAGTGTCCTCTGGCCTTGTTTGTTTTCATTACTGCAGAAGATGGGCTTTAGTGGTATTTTTCTGTCTGGTGTACATGCCTTATATGCAGGGGCGTATTTACCACAAGGCAAACAAGGCACTTGCCTTGGGCGGCATTTTTCAGGGGGGCAGCACCTCCCCTCAGAAGATGTAATGAAAGAAGGGACACACACGCCTTGGGAACCAGGTGGGATCCAAGAGAGACTGCAGGCTGCTTGATGGTGTATGTGGAGCCTGATTCCAGGGATGTCCAGAGCATTGAAGATGAGTGTCTTTCTCTATATCGCTGGGGGGTGGGGGTAGTGGAAGGCTTTGCCGAGTGGGGGGCAGGGGTGTTGTTGGTCACTGTTCTCTTTGCCGGAGGGGGAAGGGGGGGTGGTGTTGGTCGGTGTCCGTGGGGGCAGACGATTTTTGTGTTGCCTAGGGCAGCACGAAACCTAAATACACCACTGCTTATACGACTCCCCCAAAACAAGAATAAGACTTCCAGGCTGCAACTCTGATTTGTTTACACTGGGCAGGGGCACCCGTCCTCTTTTGCCCTTGTTATTTGCGCTAGTATTGGAACCTTTGGCAATTGCAATAAGATCACATTCGGATATCTCTGGTTACCCATTATTGGTTTCAAATTTCAAAATATGCACGTATGCTGAAGATGTTATGCTTTTCCTTACTAAACTGTTAATATCATTGCCTAATTTATGCACAGTACTGAATGACTTTGCTATAGTGTCAGGTCTTACTGTAAATTTTATTAAATCAATAGTTATGCCTATCAATGCTCCTGATTCCCTGAGTGCATCTCTCCATAATTCTTTTCCATTTCGTTGGGCTACAGATCGGATTTCCTACTTAGGTATTAACCTTACTCCAAGATACTCAAAAATATTTGCTGCTAATTACCCACCAGGTGTGTCACACCTCTCTACACTGTTGAAGATCTGGCATGGATACCCTATCTCATTTTTGGGCAGAGTCATGGCAGTCAAAATGAATATCTTGCCTAAATTACTTTATCTATTTAGAGCACTCCCAATCCCTGTCTCAAAAATGTTCCTAGATCACTTTCAATGGATGAGTAATAATTTTATCTGGCGTAACAAACGTCCCCGCTTTACTTCATTGGTTCTATACCGGTCGCAACGGACGGGAGGCCTCGGTATTCCCAATTTTTGGCTTTACTACCTGTCGGCCACAATGATCACAATGGGCGACTATTAAGTTCCAAGATCCCGTGGATCAGATTTGAATCTCAATCTATACATCCGTTCTACCTACTAGGCATATTGTGGTCCAAAAATTCCCCCCCCCCAGCTTGTTATGGATTCATAATTTCATTGTTGCCAATCATTGATGCTTTGGTCCCCGATATAAACTTAAATTAAATCTGGTCTCCTCTGTCTCTCCAGGTGCATATTTTTTTGGTGACCCAAATTTTATTACGGCTTTTTCCTCTCCACAGGCGTTCTGTTGGTGGTACGATAGATCCTTTATCTGACTTTCAAAGAGGAAGATCTTATATCACCTTTGAGATGCTACATATACTTTTTGATATCCCGCTTCGGGAATATTATCGTTATCGACAGATTAGACATTCTTTTAATTCACATTTTGGCCTTACACCTTCATCTCCGATTTCGTTCTTCGAACGCATTAGCCGTGACTCTCCCAGGGGCAGGGATCTTATTTCTGATTTGTATCACCAATTTTTGGTTAGTTCCTTTCCCACACCCCCTCTATATAAACAAAAATGGGAAGCTGATAGTGGTATCACCTTTTCGGATGAGGATTGGGATTCCATGATGGATAACATACGTAAGAGCTCTAGATCTCTCTCTGTCCGTGAGACAGCCCTCAAGGTCTTAACCAGATGTATTGTACCCCATCTAGACTACATGCCCTGTATCCAGGGACGTCCCACCTATGCTTCCGGGGCTGTGGCCTTGCCGGTACTCTGGTGCATACATTTTGGGCTTGCCCAGTCCTCTCCTTGGTGTGGCGCAGGATCTCTGAGGTAGCTTCTGCACTGGTGGGTACCCCGGTACATCTGACTTTGCAGTCCTGCCTATTGGGAGCTCGTATCTCAGGGGTTCAGACTGAGGTTATGAGGCTAATCCATACTATTTGTATATCCACCCTATGGGCTACTGAACTACACTGGAAATCTGTCACAGTACCATTGGCCTCTGTTCTGCAGAGTTGATGCTGTGATGCTCATGGAAATAATTAATTATACTTTACTGGACAGGATGCACTTATTTGATAGAAAATGGGAAATTTGGAGAACTCATAGACATTTACTACATGACTAAGGAACACCCATATTTGGATTGATTGACTTACTCTGTTGATAGATGTATAACTCCTCTTTATTTACATTACTCATGTACTTAAACTCTTTTCTCTCTCCTTCTCTTCTCTTTTCTTTTTCTTTACTCTACATCAGGGGTCCTCAAACTTTTTAAACAGGGGGCAAGTTCACTGTCCCTCAGACCGTTGGAGGGCTGGACTATAGTTTAAAAAAAAAAACTATGAACAAATGCGGACACAGTACAGGAGATGACCAGAGACTGCGGACATAGTACAGGAGATGACCAGAGACTGCGGACACAGTACAGGAGGTGACCAGAGACTGCGGACACAGTACAGGAGGTGACCAGAGACTGCGGACATAGTACAGGAGATGACCAGAGACTGCGGACACAGTACAGGAGATGACCAGAGACTGCGGACACAGTACAGGAGATGACCAGAGACTGCGGACACAGTACAGGAGATGACCAGAGACTGCGGACACAGTACAGGAGATGACCAGAGACTGCGGAAACAGTACAGGAGATGACCAGAGACTGCGGACACAGTACAGGAGGTGACCAGAGACTGCGGACACAGTACAGGAGGTGACCAGAGACTGCGGACACAGTACAGGAGATGACAAGAGACTGCAGACACAGTACAGGAGATGATCAGAGACTGCGGACACAGTACAGGAGATGATCAGAGACTGCGGACACAGTACAGGAGATTACCAGAGACTGCGGACACAGTACAGGAGGTGACCAGAGACTGCGGACACAGTACAGGAGGTGACCAGAGACTGCGGACACAGTACAGGAGGTGACCAGAGACTGCGGACACAGTACAGGAGATGACCAGAGACTGCAGACACAGTACAGGAGATGATCAGAGACTGCGGACACAGTACAGGAGATTACCAGAGACTGCGGACATAGTACAGGAGATGACCAGAGACTGCGGACACAGTACAGGAGGTGACCAGAGACTGCGGACATAGTAGGAGATGATCAGAGACTGTGGACACAGTACAGGAGATTACCAGAGACTGCGGACATAGTACAGGAGATGACCAGAGACTGCGGACATATAACGGCGGCAGGAATACTGGGCCGGCCGCTCCATAAGATGCACAGACATTTCCCCCCAAGTGTGTCTTATGGAGCGAAATATACGGTAAATGCAGGACACCTTGTTGGGTTAGATCTGTGTACAATTTAAAGAGAGGGGGGGGGGGAGATAAGGAGGGGGGAGAGAGAGAGGAGGGGGGGGAGAGAGAGGAAGGGGGGGAGAGGGAGAGAGGAGAGAGGGGGGAAAGAGAGAGGGAGGAGATAGATCATCTACTGCACTTATCTAGGGTCCGTGGCCGTGATACCCGACATGCAGCGATGGAGTCTCCTCTCTTGCTCCCCCCTTCATGGTCAGCTCTAGGCTCCGCCCTCCGGCCGTGATGGTTGCATGCACTGATCAGAATAGATGGCCGGCTGGCTGCAGAGAGGCCAGGTGAGTGGTGCGGGTTCATAAGCCGAGCCCACCTTCCCCTGTTCTAGAATTGCTGATCCCGCCCTCCTGCCTCCTGCCCGAGCCCTGCCGAGCTCTCCCGACCTGCCACCCTAGTCTCTTGCCTCGCGGCAGATACGCCCCTGCCCGGTGGGCCGGATAAATGTCTTCGGCGGGCGCATGTGGCCGCGGGCCATAGTTTGAGGACCCCTGCTCTACATGATTGTACCTTTTTAAAACGTGCAGTTCAGTTGTGCCTTGTTACTGTTTTACTCACCGTTTGAAGCTGTAATGTAATTTTACAGTCTATTTCTTGAAAAATAAAATTGTTTGTAAACGAGACTATTGCACAGAGCATGTAAGTATAACATGTATGTTATTTTTTTTTAAATCAGGATCTTTAATACCACTTTCAGTGTCACCAAGGTGTGCACTTTATTCTGTAATTTTGTCCAGTAATTTGGATACAAAGCATTGCAAAGGTATTCACAAATGTTTTTTTTCGTCAATGTTGGGCTTCTTTAAGACCCCTTTCAGGTGGGGTGAATCTGTCAGCATGATCTGCCTGCTCAGCGGGGATCTCTCCACTGATCCCCACTGATCAGGCGGATGACAGATCTCTGTCCGCTCTGCTGCTGCAGAGCAAATACAAACACTGCCCACTGATTTCAATGGGACAGTCTGATGGAAACAGACCGCCTGTCCATTTCTGTCAGGGCAGGAGCTGAGGAACGGACAGGCAGGCCTAACAATGTAACGCACTGGCTGACGACAACCACCACCCACAGACCAAAGTCCCTCAGGGCGCGGAGTCTAAGTCCCAGGCTGCCCTTCACCAGGGCCCCTGATGGTGGGGATGGACTTGACGCAGCCAGGAACCAGGTCGCGGCCCCCGAGACACCTCAGCTGCGGTAATGGCCGCCGCCAATGGCGTGTAGCTGGTGGAAGAGACAAAAGAGTAGTCAGACAAGCCGGGGTCAACAACAACAGGACAGAACAGTACAGGACAGCAGACGAGAATCACAGGTCACGAGCCGGGTTCAGCAACAGAGGATCAGATCAAAGGAGAATACAAAGAATAGTCAAGACAAGCCGAATCAGATACCAGGAGAGTCACGAGAGTCAGAACAGAGTAACAGCAACACAAAGACACAAGACACAAGTGCAAAGAGCATGTGCGGGCCACAGGCTTATATGTCATCAGCCACACCCCTCTGGAGGATGGACCACAGAAACCTGAAGGCATAAAAGGGCTCCCATCATGCACAGCAGAATCCAAGATGGACACCAGCACATGAAGTAACATAACCACAGGGAAAAGGTAGGACCTTGACAATTTCCAACTGATTGTCATCCGATCTGCTGAACAGATGGGAAATGGATCCCCATCTCTCTGTTTTTGGTGCACAGGATCAGATTGGATGCCGGTGGGTGTCAGTGGGCTATTGTTCATTGACACCCGTTGGTCCATAGAAGTCTATAGATGGACTGATTGGGTCCGCCTGAAAAATGGACAGGTGGACCCCATTGGTCTGCTCGTGTGAAAGGGGCCTAAATGTCAAATGTGTAAAAAAATTAACAAACAAAGACAACAACAAAAGGTTAACTATTAATTGTTAATAAAATAGAAACAAATAGAAATAAATCAGCTGGAAAATAATAATTGAATGGATAAGGAGAAAAAAATAGTTAATTAGGGCGTGATTAGCGTAAACTAAGGGTTAATAAGGGTTACACAGAGAAACAATTTGTTAAAAAAAAAAAAAAAAAAAAAAAAAACTTTTTTGCTTGTCAGGTTGTTTTAACTGGCTTCCACTGCAGATGAAAAGAATGATAAAAATGTTACAACAAGTAACATTGTATCTTTAGGTAGCATCTGAGCACATGTTATTTATAAACATTGTCAGACTACTTTTTTTGACAGCTAAAGCTGCCGACCTCTTTGTACACAGCATTACAGTTTTGATTAATCAGAGCTAAATTGCTGCATACTGGGAGGGGGGAGCAGGGCAGAAGAACTAGACTGCCACACATGCCCTTTGTACAATGATAACCTTTATTTTGGCACGTGTAGTAAGCCCAAAGTCTGGAACTAGTTATAATTTAAAAATAATCATTAGTTTGATAAATAATACACTTAAAGGGGTCTTTTCATACATTGTTTTACTCAAAGTTCAAATATCATTCACCCAAGAAGCAACTATGTATCTCATTGGATCTTATGGGGAAAACGGGGGAAACTTGGGTGAAAGTTGTGTAAATTTTGAGCAAAACAATGTGTAAAAAGAAAAACTTTAAGCGTATTCTTTATCAAACTATTTATTTTATTTTATTTAAAACAATGATGAACAAACCCCAAAATATTCTCACATTCAAATAAAATGTTTATTGATAAAAGAGAAAGGTGGGGGTGTGCGGAAGGGATACATAAATAAAAGGGGGGGGGGGAGAAGTATTACAATGAACAGCAGCAATACTAAAACAAATAATACAATGCTCTGCCTTACAGCATTTACAGCATTAACCCTAGGTTCACACCTAAATGTTTTCTGCAGTATTTTGCAGAAACGCAGTACAGTCCATTTAACATGATTTCCTATGAGACACATTCACATCTGAGTGTTTTCACCTGGTGCATTTTTTGGAATGGGTCAAGAACTTTTTTGAACGCAAAATGTTGCATTTTTGGTTCTATAGACTTCAATGGGAATGCTTCAGAAAAGAATGTATTGCGTTTTTTTCTGCGTTTCGCATTTAAAATTTGCCTAGCAACAAGAAAAATTTAAAACATTTTTTTAAAAAAACCCTGCAAAATGCAGCAAAAACGCAAGTGCATAAACACAAGAGGCACAGCAATAAGCACTGCAGAAACGGATCAAATGCAACCTGCATAGGTGTGAACCTAAACTAACATGGCTATTGTTCTGTTTCAAACTGTGGATCTGGGCAGTATAATAACTATTTTTCATTGTAAAATGATGATCATTGCTGAAAATGATTGCATCAGATTAGGTGCAGTTATTATGATATCTATAACGTATTGATCTTACAGACCAACGTTCATTACAAGAGTTCCTCTGGGTAAAAAAAAACATGCTGAGTCTGGGTTTTTTTTTTTATCTTGAGATCGAACTGCCAGAATCCAACTCTTTTCATAATCCATAAATCCTGCTATGATAAAATTACACTGATAAAATATGTTGAACAAGAATGCAACAATCAGGTAAACACTGAACATGCATACTGTATGTTGCAAGAAAAAGAAGTCTATTTAAACACATTAGATCTCCAAACCAAAATACGCATAGGATTTATACTGTATCATGTTTGGTCTCTATCAAATAAAAATTTAATTCTGTTTATTAATATTTTGGTTATTTGTGAAATTATGTCATTTGAAAATTTAGTTAGAAAAGTAAAAAAATTGACATTAAGGAAGAGTCTACTGGGACATCACAAAACAATTCAACACTCCTTCAACACACCTGGCAGCAGCTGCTCTACTACCCACCATGGATCATCTTTCAGAGGGGAGGTAGATAGTACTGCTTGTACAGTAAAAACAAACCCTGACACTGTTGTACTACGAAAAATGCAAAAAATATTATTTTGCAAAATATAATTTTGCACTTAGTGTGAAAAAATTAACACAGAGCAGCACCCACTAAACATAGGAATATTGGGTGTCAGAATCTATATATACACATACACTGAGTGCGCATCCACACAAATAAAAGTCCACAAACATCAAGTGAAAACATTAGTGAAGTGCAAATCTTCTAAAAAACAATGAAGTGCAGGAACAAGTTAAAATAATCAACTATCCACTGACTCCGTGAATGTATCTTGAAGCGACAACCAAGACACTTGTGCCCTTCACCACAAATATTCCCCACCACAAAGATCATCCAGGCATGTAATTATCAGACCTCCAGACATTCATCAATGGCAATAACAGGACACCAACATTCGCCAGTGTGCTAAAGGATGTCCAGGGGCGGCAGCGTGGGAGTCTATATAAACTGCATTAGACATCACTGTTTGCTCCTGTTCCCCTGATGACACTGTTTGACGGCAAAACATGTAGGGCAGGGCTTAACTTGTGAAGTCTAAATGTTCATAGTGTGGCCAGCGGTGAGGCATCAATACATGCTGTATTTTCTTTTACCTCTGTAAGTACCTATTGTTTAATATAAATTGTTTTACACTATGTGGCCTCTACTCTCCATGAGTGTGGATGCGGACTGGTCTGACATGCTGATCCTTGGAATCATTAAAAACAGAAGTTGGTGTCCTGCTATTGCTATTGATCAATGTTTAGAGGAGGGCTGGACTGACCATTTGAAAACTCGGGCACTGCCCGAGGGCCCGGGGTCAGTAGGGGGCCCCATGAGATGCCCCTGGTACCTTTTTCATAGGATTTTTTGAGTTTGGGCAAGGACACAGGGGTCCCATGATCCCCTATTGCCCCGAGGCCGCATGAGTTGTCAGTCCGCCCCTGGTCTAGAGGTGTGATAATTAAATGCCTGGTTGATCTCTTTGGTGGGGATTAGAGATGAGCGAATCGAACTTGGCGA